GCGGTGGGGCGGAGACGAGGCTGCGACGCTTGGACCGAGTGAAACCGACATTTCTGCCCTGGCCGCCGCAACGCCCCCGGCCTCCCTCCCACTCTTCGGTGCCGGTGTTTGTCGATGCTGTTGCGGGCGGGGGACGGAGGGCAGGGGGGGGCGTCGTCTCCCCAGACCAGGGCCACGCGCTTGCCGCGCGAGGGCAGTTCATCTTGTGCAGAGAGGCGGGGCGTACGTCTCTGCCACCAGAGGCGCCAAGAGCCTCGCGAACGTGTGCCCTGGCCCCCTGCCGCCGTTGAAAGAGCGCCCACCCGCCCAGAGAGGCAGGCACACTCGGAGAGCGCGTTTGCTGAACCACCTCCGCCCCGCCACGGGTGCGAGCTTGGGAGGCTAGGCCCGTGCGAGCCTTCGGGGCGCTTTGACCTGTCTGGCTGGGCGGCCGCAAGACCCTTCTAAGCCGCGGGGGCGTCGTGGGGTCGGGGAGTAGGCTCGCACTTGAGGTCGGGGCTGGCCAGAAGCGGCCATGCCCGCAGGGGTTCTGTGCCCTAGTTTTGTTTTGGCCTTCGGGCCGCGCCTGGGATCGTTCCTGGCGGGGCGTTCCTGTGGCCCCGTGGCGCTCGTAGGCTTTAGGGTCTGGATGCATACGGAATCGGCTTTCGGCCTGTGCAAGCGTGCTGGTTCGGGTAGCTGATTTGCTGGCGCCTTCATATACGAGTGACACACTGGTTCGGGTAGCTGATTTGCTGGCGCCTTCATATACGAGTGACACACACACACTCACACTCACACTCACACACTCTCTCTCTCTCTCTCTCTCTCTCACACACACACGCACACGCACACACGCCCGCCCGCACGCACGCACGCACGCACGCACGCACGCACGATCACACGTACACTCACACACAGCACAACACGCAACAAACAAGACACAACACGCACATACACACTGTTTTCTCTCGGCGAGCGCGCGTGCTGCGACACGCTGGCCACAGGGTGGGACAGCCGCGAAAGCGAGACAGAACGCTTCCACACACAACCAAATCAACAGAAACGCGCAATGTTTGCTTTCTGGCTGGCTGGCTCAACAAAGCGATAGCTTAGCGAGGTCGCTGATGATACTCACCGCCAAACACAACAAAGTAAAACTAGCCGCTCTCCAGAAGCGGGCGCAGAGTTCCGAGCCAGAGAAGCTGGGCAGAGCCATCAAGGACGGCGTGAACCAGCGGGAGGCTTCGGCCATCAGGCCAAGGGGGGACGTATCCCCGTTCTCCTCTGGATACTCGACTCCCAGTTCGACCACCTCTTCGTTCAAGTTTTTGCCCCCGATGCCGCCGAACCCGGCGGGGGCGAATCCAGCAGGGCCTTCCGGAAAAGTGGCGGTTCGCTGTGGGAGGACCCCTGCGTCGTGGGGTTCTCAAAGTGCAGACACGCTGAACATCGACAGGGTCCCCTCTGCGGCCGAGGGCGCAGTGAGGCCAACCCGCAGCGGGTACGCGACTCCAGGCGAGGCCCCCTCCACTGCGGACTCCTCGACTGACGGCCGATTCCTGGCCGCCTCGGTGAAGGCGCGAGCAGAGCAGCCAGGGCTGGCTCAGGCAGTGCAGCAGCCGCAGGCTGCGCACCCATCCCAGTTCACCCAGCCCCTGCAGAGCGCGGCGCGCAAGCCAAATCCCCCAGACTCGCCCCAGCAGCCCCAGCAGCAGAAGCAGCAGCCACAGCCCTGTCAGGATGGGTCGCCGCTGGTCACGGCTGCGGCCGCGCCCGCTGCAGGCGACGAGCCGAATGTCGAGCAGATCGACGCTCAGCTGCAGGCGCTGCGGGATCACATGGAGGCCACGTGGGCAGAGATCCAGACGGCGCGCACCCATCAGGAGAAGGAGGCGAAGAGCCTGCTGTTCCAGAGGCAGAAGGAGGGCGCGCGGCAGCTGTGCGAACAGAAGCGGAGACTGATCGACGATCGGGTAAGGCGCATGCAGCTCGAGCAAGAGATGCGCGAGGTGGATGAACTCCTTGATAAGGCCTTGAGGCTCAATGTCTGCGAAGAGGTGCAGCGACGACTCACCGAGACGTCAGCCGGTCAGAAACAGGAGACGGCCGACGTGGCCGGCGGCGTCGACAGGGCCCCCGTCGACGCGGCGGCCACGCGCCAGGATTGGCAGGCGAAGGAATCGCATCTCGAACAGCTGCGCAAGCAGCTGGCTGAAAAGCGTCACGAAGTGGAGCGCATGCGCCAGAAAAAGGAGGAGCAGAGGCTCCTCCAGGAGCTGAAGCAGGTGGACGAGGAGCGCTCCACGCTGGAGGAGACCGAAGCCCCGAGGCCCGGGGCACACTCGAGAGCTGCCCCCCCCATCGGACACCAGATGCGCCCGGACCCCTCGCGCATCTCCGCGCACAGCGCTGGCACGGTGGACCGGGCCACCCCCGACAGCCCGGGGCACGCGGCCGCGGTGGCCGCGGATCCTCAGCCCCTCTTCGCCCCAGGGGCGCACCGTCGGCCCGCTGCGCTCCGGAGTGTGGAGGCGGAGGGCGAGGAAGAGTCCCCCATAGCCTCGGACCGGAGCTCCGACGCCACGCCGCGCGCGAGAGGGGCGACTGGGGCGAGCAGCAACACCAGCGAAGAGCTCCTGCTGATCGAGGACGTCGAGGTCTGCGCCGGGCAACGGGGCTTCACCGCGGACGAGTGGTTCGCCCGGGACCCGAGCGAGAGCCGCTTCTCCTCTGCGGACCCTCGGCTGGCGCCAGACGACGCCGCCCTGGCGCCTGCCGCGGCGGCGGAGGGCGAGGCCGCCCGCCTGGCGGAGCTGGCGGCCCGCGACCCCGCCGCCGCGAGGGCCGAGGGCGTGGTGTCAGCAGTCATGGAGGACCTGATGCAGGACACCGCGGGCCAAGAATCTAGGCCTCCCGTAAGGTGTCCGAGCAGCGGGGGTCGGAGGATCGAGCCGCATCGCCGATGCATCGCCGATGCGGCCCGGTGTGGGCCCCGATTTGCTCCAGTCCAAAGACGCCGATGCATCGCCGACGCCGCTTCATCGGCGATGCGGCGCGATCCTCCGACCCAATCTACTCGGACCCCATCTAGGAGGTCTCTAAAGAAGCTGCACCGGCGTGGACTTTCGGAGAGGCCGCGCGGGATTTCTCGGGTCGGCACCGGGCCCCGTCCCCACCTACCCCTGGCGGTGCCTCTGGCGCCGCTCCTGGCACGGTAGTGCCGCCCCGAGAAGTCTTCGTTGAGCTCCGAAAGCTTATGGTTAAGTGTTTTGTTGCCCGCCAGGACATTGAGGTCACCATCCAGGCCATGCAGGATGGGACGCCCCTGGCCTGCTGCGGGGAGCCCATGCTGCAGCACCCGACGCCGATCCCCCCCGCGCCGTCCCTGATCACGGAGATCCTGATCGAGGACGGCGGGCCAGGAGCTCAGAGCTTCTCTGGCTGGAGCGACACACTCGTGGTCGTCGTCGTCGTCGTCGTCGTCGTCGCCGCCCGAGCAAGAGTTCCATCCAAGATCTGTCAGACCCCTCCGATGGTCAATTCTGGCCAGTTTTTCAAGCTGCGCCCAGCCATGGCGACAAGGACCTTTATAAAACCAAGACGTCGACGACATCGTCACGCGCGACGAGCCGAGCAGACAGTGGATAGGCCGCGATGTAACGATACCTGTCGCGGTGCGATGCCTTCCACGCGATCGCCGATCGGGCCCGATCATGCCGCCGATGTGGCCCATTGTTTGATTGATCGAGCGGGGGTGGGGTGTTCGACCAGACCCTCGGTCAGCTGTATGCTTTGCGCTTCCCAGGCATGCAGCGGCCCCCACAAGTCGAGACGGTCAGTCTTCGCCATTTTGGGCTCTGGTGGCCAGCTACGTGCCCCAGGATCTTCAAACAATTGATCGAAATGAAAAGTCGGCCCTGGGAAGAAGGGTCGATAGGTCCGACGGCCAATGCCTCGAACAAGTCGAGCTGCCAGATGTCTTTGCATGCGCCGCGTTGTGGGATGTATCGGTACCAGCTAGGTCACGACGAGGATCGCATCGTGGATCAGGTTGGACCTGGAGGCGCTGCTGGACAAGCCATGGCAGCCCGCTCACTCCTGCAGTCAGAGTGCAAAGCGTCTATCTAGACACATCGATTGGGATATGTCACTCCTACTGGATCTCATGTCGTTCCCGCGTGGCAGTCAAGAGGAGAGTCGTCGCTGTAGCCGTCGTCCTCCAGTTCCTCCTGCCAGGTTCGGGGACGAAAAGGGGATCTGCGTTTTATTGTAGTGGAGTCAGGTACCACTCGCCTCTAGACCCCTGCCAATGCCCTCTGCCTTGTCCCTGTGATGCTGGAAAGGAGAAGCTTCGTCATGCCAGCAGGTGCTCGTGCTCCAGAGACACCACGGCGCACAACAGGTCAGGTGTAAGCGCAGGCAAGCTCTTCTATACGATTTGCGCTGTCGCGCATGCGTCACCGACCCAGAGCGACGATGCGCCCCTCCCCGCACTGCTGCACCCGCGTGCGTGGTTCGCAGGGAGGTCAGCCGAGGCAGGTTCCCATCTAGATTCTGACCTCCGAGCTTCCGTCATCCTCCGCCTCCTTCTCCTCCTCCTCCTCATCCTCATCCTCATTCTCCTCCTCCTCCCGCGGCGCGAGCTGAACGGTGCTTTAGTGATTTCGTGGACCGTTGTCTTCGATTTCGTTTTGCAGCAAAGGCGGAGCGAAGACAGAACCAGGGACAACGCAATCGAAAGGCACCGTGTTGGCTCGCGCCCTGCCACCTCCCCCTTCTCCCCTCCCCCTCCCCCTCCTGCTCCTCCTGCTCCTCCTGCTCTTCTCGGAGGAGGACCCTCCCCCCCCTCCCCCACCGTCCCTCCTGGCCGCTCCGAGGTCTGGCATCGCGGGCGCGGGGGCGCCCTTCGTCCCGCAGGGCGCAGCGGCCCCGGCGGGTGGCGGGCAGCGGAGGGAGGACCGCGGCCTGCGCCTCCTCCTCCGCTCTCCCGCAGGGGAGGCGCGGACGTGAGAGGGAGAGGAGGAGAAGAAGGAGGAGAGGGATAAGGAGGGAGCGAGGGATTACGTAGGGGAGGGGAGGCAAGAGGGAGGAGGATCCACATCCACCTGCTCCTCCGCCTCCCAGTGTGTGTGTGTGTGTGTTGTGTGTTGTGTGTTGTGTGTTGTGTGTTGTGTGTTGTGTGTTGCGTGTTGTGTGTGGTGTGTGCGTGTGCGTGTGCGTGTGCGTGTGCGTGTGCGTGTGCGTGTGCGTGTGCGTGTGCGTGTGCGTGTGCGTGCGCGTGCGCGTGCGCGTGCGCGCGTGCGTGTGCGTGTGCGTGTGCGTGTGCGTGCGCGTGCGCGTGTGCGTGTGCGTGTGCGTGTGCGTGTGCGTGTGCGTGGTGTGTGTATGTGTGTGTGCGTGTGCGTGTGCGTGTGTGTGTGTGTGTGTGTGTGTGTGTGTGCGTGTGTGTGTGTGTGTGTGTGTGCGCGTGTGTGTGTATGTGTGCGTGTGTGCATGTGTGCGTGCGTGTGTGTTTGTGTTAGTGTGTGCAGTGTGTGGTGTGTGTGGTGTGTGTGTGTTGTGTGTGTGGTGTGTGTTGTGTGTTGTGTGGTGTGTGTGTGTGTTGTGTGTTGTGTGTTATGTGTTGTGTGTTGTGTGTGTGTTGTGTGTGGTGTGTGGTGTGTGTGTGTGTTGTGTTGTGTGTTGTGTGTTGTGTGTTTGTGTTGTGTTTCTGTTTTGTGTGTGCTGTGTGTGTTGTGTGTGTGTGTTGTGCGTTGTGTGTTGTGTGTGTTGTGTGTTATGTGTTGTGTGTTGTGTGTGTGTGTTGTGTGTTGTGTGTTGTGTGTTGTGTGTTGTGTGTTGTGTATGTGTGCGTCTAGGCTCTAGGCTTGTTAACCTGCACACGCGGACTCCCAGGGGGCAGAGGTGAGGGACACAGGAGTGGATGAGGTTTGGTCTTTGAACTTGGTGTTGCATTTGGCTCCAGACCCGTCGACACCCTTCCTGAATTGCGAGTTTGGGTGGGCTACATTCGCGCCGCCTGGAACAAGGAGAATGAGGGTATCAGGTCAGGGTGGCTCCCAGGGTTTCTAGAGCGTTTCGAGAAGCTTCACCTCCTCCTCTCGTCTCCTCGTCTTCGTCATGATCCCCCTCCTCTCCCCATCCTCCACCTTCTCCTCCTCTTCCTCCTCCTCCTCCTCCTCCCCCTCCTCCTCCTCCTTCTCCTCCTTCTCCTCCTCTTCCTCCTCATCCTCATCCCCATCCTCCTCCTCCTCCTCCTCCTCCTCCTCCTCCTCCTCCTCCTCAGAACAGCTGATGGCACAGCATGGTTTTGGCGTGGTCCATCCTGCTAGCTCGGTCGGTGGTCTGGCCCTCCAACCGGTGGGCGCTGGTGCTCTGGGCATGTCGGCCGGAGACCCGACGGAGGCTGGGGCCCTCCCTGCGGCCTCACGCGACGACCGGCCTCGTCCTGGTGCTGGGGGTCCTCCTGGTCATGCGAGCGTTGCCCCCCTTCGGCCACGCGCAGAGGGGGGTAGGGCGAGGGGGGAAGGCTTCTTAGAAGCACCCCTGCTTCTCAGAAGGCGCGGGCCTTATCTATAGATGTAAGGCCGGCGCCTTCTAAGAAGCAGCCTGCTTCTAAGAAGCCCTCCCCCCTCCCCACACCCCCTTGTGCGCGCCGCCAACCCCTCTTTCTGCGATGTCGGCTGGTTGCCCGACGGAGGCGGGGGCCTTCCCCGCGGCCACACACGTCGACCCACCCTCCCGGTCTTGTTGTGGGACCTCCTCTCTGTGGCGACAGTGTGGCTCGTCCGTCTTCTATGTCTGCTGGTGGTCAGACGGAGGTGGGGACCTTCCCCGCGACCTCCCCTGGCGCAGAAGTAGCTCCGGATCCTGAAGACGACGCTGGCATGGTGATAGGATTCATTGGCAGGCCAGATGGCAGGCCATCGTTGCCGATCCTGGGATCAGAGACCGCTACCTGTCCTGATTTCAATCCTAATCCTGATCCTGAAGTGCCGGCTCTTGGCGAGGGTCTTCTCCCTCACCCACGGTGTGCTCAGGTTGGTGGAGTTGCTCCTCCTACTGGATTTCGCAGAAAGTCACAAAGTCCAGACTCGCTTCTGGCCTGCACGACCACTTCGACTCCAGGGAGACGGAGATGAGATGCTCAACGTCAACAGCAGCACGCCTGAGTTCGACGGTTTTGATGCCATGGCCAGTGCTGACCTCGTGGATCTCATGGCTTCGCATTCTGGTGGATGGACCCCTGCTGGCCCTGCCGCTGTGGAAGACGCTGCGGGGGTGGTGAATGAATGGCGGCAAGCTGGGCATGGTGGTGCTCCTGGTCCTGGGCCCTCTGTCCCAGATGGTCATCTGCTTCTCTGCTCTCCCTGCCATTCCCCCCTTCCCGCACGCCCCGGGAGAGGAGCCTGTTGAGCCATTGCCGACCGACCAGTCCAGCATGTGATTGCAAGTGGCGATGGCAGATGAGAGCGATGCTGTGCCCCTTCTAGACGCTCTGGACATGCATGCCGCACTTCTCCCACAAGTGGCTGCATACGACTACCCCGAGCAGATGTTCGTGCCAGAGGAGGAGGAGGAGGAGGAGGAGGAGGCGAACGACGCCTCGACGCAGGTCATGGCGTCTGCTGTCCTTCCTGGTGCTGACGATCCTGCGCCTGCAGGTCCCCAACTTCAAGTGGACCATACGCACGGCTCCGCCGTCGCCGTCACCGATCCCTCGGGCGACTGCTTTGTCGACGACGACAACTTCGGGGAGCTGGTCGGGATGTCCGTCTCGCCCCTGAGGCCAGGTTCTGCGGGGGCCGCGGGCGCGCATCGTGCTGCCCAGGCGGACTGACTGGAGACCTCCATCCGCGGCGTGGGCTCCTCCTCTCCTTCTCATCCTCATCGTCATCATCATCATCGTCATCATCATCACCATCATCATCATTATCATCATCATCATCATCATCACCATCATCACCATCATCGCCCTTCTCGTCCTCATCATCGTCATCCCCCGCTTCGCCCTCGTCCTCCTGGTCCTCCTCGCTCTTCACCCCCTCTTCCCTCTTCTTCTCCTGTCCTCCCCCTCACCCAAGTCTGCCTCCATGAATCCCTGCATCTTCCTGCACCTTCTCGTTCTCCTGCCCCCAGGTCTCAGGCCCCGCCTGCTCCCCCGACGGTACGGGGAGGGGCATGGCAGGAGCAGGAATGGGGCACGTCATACTGAGGCCCGCGTTCGCAGCTCCGCCCTGCCGACCGCCGAGCTCCCTCGAGGAGCTCGGCACCACTGGTGCGCACAGAGAGGCGCTCACCCTGCTGGGGCCCGAAGGATTCGCAGTACTTCGCATGCGCTCAAACGTATACAGGCATGCATGTGTCTACATGGCCGCATGTGTCTACGTAGTCTCTTACCATGTGCTCGCGGCTGCTGCGTTGGAGGTAGAAGGATGAGAAAGGAAACGAGGAGGACGACGACGACGACGGCGACGACCACGACGACGACGACGACCGCCCCTCAACGCTCAACCTCACGATCCCCCTCACGGGATGCGTTTTGAACCGGATGCGGAGGGGAATTCAGCCATGGCGGCGAGAAGCTTCCTGGGCGCACAGATACGCCCAAAATTATCGATCCTCGTTTTTCGAACGAGCGATTGTGATGACGACGATGAAGAAGACGACGAAGACGACGATGTTGACGTTGACGTTGGCAACGGCGACGTCCGGCCATCGACGAAGACGGCGACCTTCTTGGCCCGTTTCGCCCAGGATGCGGGGCCATGGCGCCCCTCGTCGCCCCCATCGGGCGCGACCTTGACGCCCCCGCCTCTGCTGGACTGCGAGCGCGAGCGGGGCAGGAGGAGATGGGGGACTGGGGAGGGAGGGAGGGAGGGGAAAAGAGGAGGAGGGTGGACGGGGAGGAGTGAATCTGCTCACATCCTGCGCTTCCAGACTCGCCCGAAGTTTCTCCAACGGCAATGACATCACACTCGATAGGGAAACAGGGAGGAGGAGGAAGAAGAAAGAGGAGGAGGAGGAGTATGAGGGAGGAGGATGAGGAGGAGGAGAAAGAGGAGGAGGAGGAGGTGGAAGGAGAAAGGAGGAGGAGGAGGAGGAGGAGCAGGAGGAGGACAGCAACCCCACACACATCACGACCGAACCCTCCAGCGTCCTACCGCACCCTCAAGGACCCCAATTCACATACGAACCTCCCAAGCACATACAGACAAGAGACGGCTTCCGATTTCGTACTGACACACCTCCTGACCACGAGCACTACGAGTTTGTACAGCAACAGCTCGCAGAACGACGCGATATCGAAAAACGCCCATACGACCACCTGGAAAAAGAGCGCCACAAGTGTAACGGCCAGTTGAACATGTTACCACCAGAGCCGACTATCCCACACCTCACTTGGATGAAAAAAAGGCCAAGCATGACAAAATAAGATACGACACAAGCCACGGCTACATCCCACCAGAGCCAGCGAAGATGCCGACGCCACCGACTCAGACCAACCAAGACGAATAGAAGACCATTCGCAAGACTACCCCGACCTGTGCTACCACACTACCGAATCTGAAGACAACTACGAAAGGCACGACCCGTGGGCCACGATGAGCAGAACATCCGACTTTAACGAAATTTGCCTCTCACCGCTCAACCCTAACAAGTACATGCACATACCCAGCGGCTGGTCTGCCGAATGTCACTACGCCAACGACGCAGACGAGGAAGGCCAACGGTTTCGCTTAATTCTGAAATCAAGATCGAATGCTGAAACAACAGTTTGATACATGAAATAGACACGACGGAAAACACTACGTAAGCACAGTATGTTAAACACTGTGCAGAAGTGGTAGTAGTATGTAGCAGCAGTAGTAGCAGCAGTAGTAGTAGTAGTAGCAGCAGTAGTAGTAGTGGTGGTAGTAGTAGTATTAGTCGTAGTAGTCGTAGTAGTAGTAGTAGTAGTAGTAGTAGTAGTAGTAGTAGTAGTAGTAGTCGTAGTAGTAGTAGTAGTAGTAGTAGTCGTCGTAGTAGTAGTAGTCGTAGTAGTAGTACTAGTAGTACTAGTAGTAGTAGTAGTAGTAGTAGTAGTCGTAGTAGTAGTAGTAGCAGCAGTAGCTAGTAGTAGTAGTAGTAGTAGTAGTAGTCAGTAGTAGTAGTAGTAGTAGTAGTAGTAGTAGTAGTAGTAGTAGTAGTAGTAGTAGTAGTAGTAGTAGTAGTAGTAGTAGTAGTAGTAGTAGTAGTAGTAGTAGTAGTAGTAGTAGTAGTAGTAGTAGTAGTAGTAGTAGTAGTAGTAGTAGTAGTAGTAGTAGTAGTAGTAGTAGTAGTAGTAGTAGTAGTAGTCGCTGCAACCAAGTCCAACAGTTATCAAGTCCAAAAGTCCATCAGTTAAACATTAAAAACAATATTTTGAATTCGCCACCTTCCTGTGCATAGCATGTCGGCCGATGACAGCTGTATCGACTACTTTGCTTCGTTGGTCACTTGGATGCTCAGCTGGGACGTGCCTGCGTTCATTGGAAAGCTGACTGGATTTTTGACTTGGCTAACAACTGCGGTCATCCGTTCCGTCACGTTGCTCGTCATCTCGCTCGTGACGAAAAACGGACCGTTCATTATTCTGGCCCTCGGACTCTACATTGCGTACAGGGCGATTGAGCGCTACCGCGGTGTTGCAGCTCAGTTGGGCCCCATCGCGCAGCTTAGTGTTTCTGCGGGCCGCACCAGGCAGATGACAATCCTCATGGTGGGTTTGCCATGTGTCGTGATATTGGTTTCGATCGCTGCTCTTGCCACTGACCCTTCTGAGGCCGACGAGACGTTAGAGGTCATGGGAATCATGCCATTTATTGTATCCCAGCTGCTCGCGGCTGCATATTCGGGCCTGACAGGTCTAAGGGGCATCTATTTCCGCACAGCGAAGGCGACTGCATCGCGTGCTTTGACCGTCATGCAGCGCCTGTCCATGTTGTACCCGGTTCTTGTCCTATTGCTCATGATGTACGTCCGTGGAGGAGTTGCGATGTTTTCAAAGGACATCGGCTCAAAGACTGGCACGGCACGAGAGGCCTTGCTCAATGCTTCCAACTTCGGCGTGTTCATCACTCGGACCAACACAGCGGCGGCCCTGCTGGCGTGCGCTGTCCTCTTCGGTGGGTTCGCAATGGACGTCATCGGAGCAACGGCGATATTGATGTCAAGAAGTCGGTCCTCCACGTTCAATACGCCGATCGTCATAGCGCCCACGGTTCAATGGCTAGCCGACGCCGTCGGTTGGCAGATTATGGCCAGCTTCATATTGAGGAAACAGTGGACCGACGGAAAGTGGACGTCGGTCCAGATCGTGAAGGTCGTGTGGGCAGGCATCGCAGCAGCGGCTACGAACACGGGTGCTGCTAGGAAGGCTCTGGACGCAGCGCTGGGAATTGTTGTCAACGGGCTCAAGATCGCAAGCTCTCGTCAAGCGAGGAATCACGTGGCAGGCGTGTTCTTTGAGGCACGACTACTGCGATTCCTCGCGGAGGGAATAGCTGGTCCCGAGCTCTTGAGCATCCGATGGGATGCGCCCACCCGCGAAGGCCTCAACCGCGTGGTGGCGGACGCTTATTTCCGTGGCATGCAGAATCCGAATGTCGAGAAGAGCGCGCAGACGACGGCAGTGCACATCATGTGGGGCTGGGCCGCAGCGAGTCTGAATAACGCTGGACCACGCGTGATGGTTCCAGCGGTGGCTCCTGCGACTGGGGAGGTCGTGGGCCTTGCGGTGGCTGGGCCAGGAGAGCTCGACGATCCCATGCTCGAACGTGTGGCTCGAGCATGCGCGGCCGCCGCATCACCGACCGCTGCAGTGCAGTCCATCGGAAACACCGCGTCGTGGTTAACATCCGAGGACTACACCACCAAGGTGCTGCTCGTGCAGGGGTTGCTGGCATATGACACCGCAAACCCGCGCACTGAGTTGAATGTGAACAACACATGGTGGTTCGACGGAACATTGCTGCGCAGGCCCACTGCAACGGAGCTCGCTGGCTCATGGAATGCGCCGATTGAGACCCTCGCCGCTGGCACTGCCTTTACCTGGGCGCTCGTGGCAGCCCTTCCGTCGTTCGTAGGGTTCGGCACCCCGACTGACGGCCAGCTCGCTGCGTGGATGGTCGCCAACCCGCGCGCGTTCCTCGGCGGAACGCCGCTCGCGAACCCCGTCGCTATCACTGGGCTGCAGACCGGCCAGTTGTACGTGGAGGCCTCAAACACGCTCATCGACCACGAGAAGCGGATATCGGGACTTCCAGAGAGGTTCGTAGGCCTCACGCGCTATGCGCCGCCAGGGCCAACCATCCGCGTGGAGGACGCGAAGGTGGTCACGGACCATTTCCGCAATGAAGGCGTCACCATCTGTTGAGAGCAGAGGTGGGGCACCTCCCGTGTACGCGCAGGAGGGTAAGACCCAGTCAGTGGCTCGAGCGTAGCTCGCCAAAGGTCTCCCCATCCAGAAGGAGGTGATCGTCGCACCTCATTGGGGC